CAGCAGGACACACGCATGGCCCTGGCCCTGCTCTCTCTCACCTCACGCCTCTATGGCAAGGAATGAGCGCTGAAATAAACAAAAGTGCTTGAGCCCAGAGGGCACTGATGTGTGACTGTGGAAGCGCGCTAACCAGGCAGGCAGCCTGCAAACCGCGAGCTATGCAAGAAAGAATCCAATCCTTAGCACCCCAGGCATAACCATGCATAACAAACAATTCCTGGAACTTGGGTAAAATAAAGAGCAAATGGGGAAAACAGAGTCACTATTAAGTTTGTCAGTTACAGTCGCTTGGAGAGGGAGTTACTTTGGAAATGTCTCTCTATGGGGCAGCAAAAGCACTATGCCTGTTAGACCAACTTCCCCAATGCCCTTTCGATGATGCAATGACCGTTAACTGACCATGATTCTCCCAGAGCCAGCTGGATCCTGTAAAAATCTGCTGCCGCTCCCCACTCCGGATGGCGTGGTGAAGTTGAATTGGTTGTTTGGTGCTTCACTGTCATCATCAAAGCAGAACTTGTTCAGGTCCAGAAGCAACGTCCCCTTGGCTGCTCTCTCAGGCACCATAATGCTGGCGGAAAGACACGATTCAGTATTTTCCCCCAACGAATAGTGACTGAGCATTCCTTCTAACACAGGCCCCAGGCTAGACACCCCGGCTTTCATTTCAATTGAAAGCAAGTCCGTGGTTAAGGCAGTACCTGCCTAACTGGTGTCCCCACTCTGCCCTTGACTCCTTTCAGAAGATTCTTAACACAGCAGCCAGAGGGATCCTGTGAAAATGTCAGATCACGTCGCTCTGCTGCTCCTAAATCGCAAAGGGCTCCTGATTTCACTCAAAGTCGTGACTCTGATCTACAGCATCTTTCATGACGTGCTCCCACCCCTTACCTGTCTGAACTCATCTCCTACTAATTCTTCTTGTTCATTCTCCTCCCACCCTGGCCTCCCTGTGCTCCTGGACACTCCCCAGGCTCTGGCCTCAGGGCCATTGCACTTAACTGCGCACCGCATGGCTTGCTCTTTCCCTATCTTTAGTCTTGAATCAAATGGCACCTTCTCAGGAGGCTCCCTGGCTATCCCAACTAAAATGTCAACGCCCCCAGCCCATTGCTCCCTCTCCCCTTCCCCCCCTGTAGGTTTAATGCCTGGTGCTTACCATTTTCCAATATACTATACAGTTTACTTACACATCCTGTTTATCGCCTGTTAGCCCCCAAGAATGTAAGCTCCACAGGACTGGGGATCTTTATCTGCTTTGTTCTTGGCACACTCGAGAAATATTTGTTGAATGAATGGCAGCTTATGGGACTAGCACAGGAGTGAAGAAGAATATAAGAGAAATAGAAGTTCTGCCCCTGCCTGTAGGAATTGATAATCTGGTTGGGGGGGATCGCTGTACCCCTGCACCCCTCCCTCCCCTGCTTAGAGGACTGGAAATTCCTCCACTTGTGTTCTCATGGCTTCGAAGTCATAGAAGGGCCTCCTGACACCTTAGCATCATTCATTCAATAGAGGCTTATTAAAGGTTGAATTCTGGGTCCCAATGTCAGTGCACTCCAGCAGGGAGGCGAATAGTATGCAGATGAGTAAAGCTGCCCCCAAACTCAGAGCCATCTGGTCAAGCCCAGCTTGGAGTGGGAGACTCTGAGGAAGCATGGTAACACCTCCAGACCCATTAAGGGACTTCACACGTCTCCAGGTTTCAGTTTTTCCATCTATAACATGGGCATGTTGATTAGCTTTTGCTACATAACAAACCAGCCCAAAACCTAGTGGCTTAAAACAACAGGCATTTATTGTTTCTTACAACACTAAGGGTTATCCATTCGCTCTTTTGGTTCTAGTCCAGCTTGGCTGGTCTCTCCAGTCACTGGCAGCTTGGTGGGGGCTGGATGCTCCAGGATGGCCTCACTCACGCGTATGGTGGGAAGGTGGGTGGTCTCTGCTTCATATTGCCTCTCATTCTCCAGGAGGCTAGTCTGGGCTCTTCTCATGGAGATCTTAGGCTTCCAAAAGTAGCAAGAGAGGGCAAGTCCCAATGCATACACACCTTTCAATCCTCTGCTGCGCCATGTTTGTGAATGTTCCGATGGCCAAAGCAATTCACCTGGTCAAGTCCAGATTCAAGGAGTAGAAAGAGATACCCATCTCTTGACGGGAAGAATGGTAAAATCACACTGCAAAGGGGCTCATGTACAGGCAAAGAGGAATTTGTGTGGCTAGTATTTTCTTTCTCTTTTTCTCTCTCTCTCCTTCCTCCCTTCCTCCCTTTCTCCCTTTCTCTCTTTCTTTCTTTCTTTGCCTACCACAGTCATGTTTTGCCTTGGGCAGGATTTCTTACAAAAATATATTGGGGCTGCCAGGAGGATGTGCCTGGAAGACCTACAGCTGCAGGAATAGAATGACCACAGACCCCAGCTGCTGGGCTATGAAATCCATCACTATATTTGCAGTGAGGTCGTGTACCAACGACAGAGGAGGGCAGAGATACTAAGGCAGACTCATTCCTGTCCTGTGACAGCTGACTTTGGCTCCAGGATTCCCCAATGCCCTAGCCAAGTTCATGGACTGCAGAACAGACTAGAACATTCCCACCCATGCACCCTCCCTCCTTCCTTTACTCAGGTCAGACTTGCATCACAGTCTGATGACCCTCGCAGCCTAGCCTAGCTCTCTCCCCATCTTCTCCCACAGGCATTTCCACTAATAAAAGCCTCGCACATTTAATCCTGTCTTGGCATCTTGTTCTTAGAGCATCAACACGTGTCTCTAATCCTCTGTACTATCACCTCTCTCTGAAACAGAATTATGCTGCTTTCTACATTCCACATCAGCTCTTCATGGCAGCTAAAATGGGCTTAGCAAACATGGAGCCAAGTCTGACAGCAAGGTTGTTTTTGTGCTGCTGAGGATAACTGGGTTTGTTCTGGGAAAGCGGTCTTTCTCACAGGTGTAACTGAATCTCCATGATGTCTCTGTGTCTCAGGAGGACTGGAGTCCGAGCATCTCCACTCTTGTCTTGATGGCACGATGTCATGGTTTCACTCATAAATACTTAGAATAGATACTATTTGTTAAATACCAACTATATGTGGTATCCTACCAAACACTTTAAAAACTCTATCTCTAATCCCCTCATCACCTAGAAGTTTGTGTTCCTGTCCCCATTTTACAGATGAAGAAAGATTCAGGGTGGTTTCAAGACCCAGAAAGCTGATGCATCCAGGCACCATCCCCTTGTCAGTGTTAAGAGTCACAGTAAATTTTACTTTTGGTTCTATCAATGACTCTCCAGGCCAACAGAGGGTTCAGTGATCTGAGTCTTGATTACAAGTCTGCAGAAGCCAGAAGTCTGCATCACCCAAAGACTCTAGGGTCCCGAAGCCAGACATTTCACGCCCTCCAAAAGAGCCTTCACACTTGGCCCTTTCGGGCCACCTGGCGTGTTCTTTTCATTTTCCCCTGCCACTTGGTATTTTTCCCCTAAACGCATGGCTTGGAAAACGACTCCCCCCCCCATTCATCACTCCCTGCCTCAAAGGCGGGCTGCTCTCACTCCCAGCCATCTGACCACGGTTCCCCCTGCCACTTGGAGGTGACAGGCACAGCCGACATCCTCTGCCTTTGGCTCACAAACAGCTTGCGAAGCGCTTTCAGCCAAGTGCCTGACGATTTACAACCATAGCGGCTCTGTCACGGGGCCTTTGATGCCTCCATCAGGGCCTTGGGCTCATTCATCACCAGCCTGGGAAAGCTGCAGGGGCTGTTTCTGTCTCTTGGCCTCCCGAGAGCCTGCATGGACCCACGGGGATGGCAGGGGACCTGGCACGAAGCCACCTGCCTCGTGGGATCCACTGGGTGCTTGACGCCCTCCCAGCCTATTCTACCTGCTCCCCCAGATTCCGCCGCAGGCACTGTGCCAAGAGCCCTGAAGAAAGAGTAAATATTCAGGGACAGGGCTGCCAGAGCCCTTGGCAGCGCCAGTGCTGTCGTTTGGCTTGCTTTTGACCTGCCCGGGTGCGTCCACTGTGGTGTGGTGGGAATGGACAAGATGCTAGGTGTGGGAGAGTGGTGGGTGATGCAGGGTCAGGGTTTCCCAGTCCCTCCCTGGAGTATGCAAACGAAGCTGGGGTTTGGGAGTAAAACCTTTCACTTCCTGGACTGCCGAGGGAGGAGCCCTTTTGTTGCCCCTCCTCATATCTTGGCTCTTACAGGACAACTGCAAGTTCCTCCCACTGGAAAAGCCCAGAGCCCTCCTGGAATATTGTTTAGAGTTACCTTTGGTAATAAATATAATTAGTTCAGTTACTGGCTGGCATTGACCTTCAAGGCTAATTTGGAGAGAAGATTATGAAAATGTGATTTTACTAGCTAATATGGAATGCAGTTTGTAAACTGTCATCTCACACATCAGGGGACTCTGGACCACAGGAAGCCACAGTACACACTTACCAGAAATGCACTGAGGGGAGAAAATTGACCATGAAGATTGGAGATAGCACAGTCCTCTCCAATCATTGATACCCAGAGTTCTTACGCTTCAACCATCTTCCCCCACCTCTTAGGGCAGGAGAACAAAGGCGAAAGCAGGAGGGTCTAGAAGAGCAGGACGTGAGGAGAAGAATTTCCCAAGATGCGCTGGAGCCACCCAAAGGCACTAGCGTAGCTTTAGATTTTCAAAGAAAGTGGAAGAGTGACTCTGTGGATCACCTCTGCTCCATCCCAGGGACCAGACTTCTCTTAACAGTGGTGGGTTTGATTTATGCAGAAAATGGTATGGAAGTCACGGTCCTAACTATCCATGACAACTGTTCTCACCCATCAAACAGACTCTGTTCTTGGGGTTGGGATAGGAACCTATCACATGGTCAAGGCCATTATTGATTTGATACGGGTCTCAGCAAGAGGCAGATGGCAAATTAAGATAATTCCGGGAGGGTTTAGTAAAGGGACTGTTACAACGTGTACACACGGTACATGGGAACGTCAAAGGATGGTCTAGGTCTAGGAAGGGTGGGCCTCCCTTTCCACTGCTAGGCCTCAAGGAGCCAGAGGAGGGAGCAGTTCCTGAAACCGGAACCAGGGACAGAGGGTGCCGTGCGCAGAGTGCGGCCTAATAGGAACTGAGACCTTCAGGAGGTGGAGGGGCTCATGCCGCTGACAGGGAGGGAGCCAGGGGATAAATACCCTGACTTCTCTCTCCCCCTCATTCCAGGGCTTCCAGTGGCCCAATGGGAAGGTGCAGGGCAAGGGAGCAGTTGATATCCATAGAGGTCAGCCTCCTGGGGCACAGAGCAGGGTTGGGGAGGCTGGGAGCTAGATCTGAAGAGGCAAGTAGGGTATGTCCAGAACAGGGTTTAGCTGTTTTGATGCCAGGCTCAGGACCACTTGATTCTTAGCACTATGCTGGGCATGCCAGTGGGGAAAACAGGGGGACATTGAAAAGCATAATAAAGGAGTTTGTATTTCTTTTTTTTTTTTTTGCGGTACGCAGGCCTCTCACTGTGGTGGCCTCTCCCGTTGCGGAGCACAGGCTCCGG